AATAAAAAGGACACGTTACGCTTAGAACATAAACAAACACAAAATCCTAGTGTGTGAACACAAAAAGCATGCCTAATTCCCCAATGGATTTGGTTACGGATTCTTGCCAGGCACTATGTAAGCCAGAAAGCCAGGAACTGCCAACTTTAAAGTACGAGAGGAAAACTGTCAACCCTGAACTTTACTCAACAAAAAATGTCTTTCAAAAATAAAGACTTTTTCAGATGAACAAAGTTGAAAGAATCTGTTGCCAACGTACTTTCATTAAAATAAATATTTCAAAACATATGTTTTAAAACATAGAATTTGGATCTACACAAAGAAATAAAATGTGTAGGATATGGTTAGAATGAACCTAAGTATACAGGGCTTGTTTTTCTTACTTTTAGTTCCTTTAAAATTTTGTCAAAAACAAAGCAGTAAAATGTACTAACATGTAAAAAACTAAAATAAAATGTTTAGCAGTAGCACCAAAGATAAATTGTGACACACATGTGAAGGTGAACTACGTTTAGCTGAAAATGTATATTTGATGCTATGGCAACCATAACAATTATTTTAAATGATAATAACAAGCCAATGTTGTTCTTGTGTGCTGCCGAGTCAATTCCAAGTCACAGAAACTACAGGACGGAGCAGAAGGGCCGCACAGGGTGCCCAGGGCTGCCGTCTTTACAGACGGAGAGAAGCACATCTTCCTCCCGCAGCATGGCTGGTGCGCTCAAGATGCCAACCTTTCTATTAGCAGTTGAGTCCGTTAACAACTGCACCACCAGGCCTACTTCAATGAGCCAGCCGTGGAAGTAAAAGAGAATCATAAAAATTATGTAAGTCACCCAAGGAAGGCAGAAAAAGAATGAAAGAACATCGAGCAGAGGGGCAAAGAAAACAAGCAGTAATGCTGTTGTCGTTAGGTGCCCTCAGGCCAGTTCTGATTCACAGCGACCCTATGCACAACACAACAAAACACTGCCTGCTCCTGCGCCATCTCACACCTGTTACGCTTGAGCCCACTGTCGCAGCCACTGTGTCAATTCCTCTTGTCGGGAACCTTCTTCCTTTTCTCTACCCCTCCACTTCAGCTAGCATGATGTCCTTTTCTAGTGACTGGTCTTTCCTGAGAGCATGCCCAAAGTATGTGAGACAGGCTTGCTTGCCAGTCTTGCTTCTAAGGAGCATTCTGGCTGGACTTCTTCTAACACAGGTTTGTTTGTTCTCCTGGCAGGCCATGGTACTTCCAATACTCTTCGCCTACACCACAGTTCGAATCCATCAATTCTTCTCCAGTCTGCGTTATTTATGAACCAGCTTTCACATGCACGAGGCAACTGAAATACGGCTTCAGTCCGGTGCACCTTACTCCTCAAAGTGACATCCTTGCTCTTTGACACAATCTTCGCTGTTTGTCATGTTCTTCATTGATCCAGTTGGGAGGGTTTAGGTCTAGTTTACATTGAGTTGTCATTCATACTGACGGGTGCAGTCTTTGATCTTCATCACCAAGAGCTTCAAGTCTTCCTCCTTTTCAACAAGCAAAGTTGTGTCATATGCACATCACAGGATGTATGACTCTTCCTCTAATCCGGATGCCAAGCTCGTCTTCAGATAGTCCAGTTTTTCCAATTATTTTCTCAGCATACAAACTGAGTGTGTTGGAAGGACACAACCCTGAAGCATACCTTTCCAGATTTTAAACCATGCAACATCCCCTTTTTCCTCTGTAATTGCTCCCTCTAGGTTTATGCACAGGTTCCATGTGAGCATAATGAAGTGTTCTGAATCCCCATTCTTCTCAATGTAATCTATAGTGTATTGTTATCCATACAATCAAATGCCTTTACATATTCATTAAAACATAAGTAAACAACCAAAACCAACAACAAAACATAAGTAAACACTTGTCTTCTATTCTTTGCTTTAGGCTATGATCCACCGGTCATCAGTAATGATAACCCTCATGCTGGGTCCTCTTTGGCATCGAACTTGAATTTCTGGCAGCTCCCTGTCAATGCACTGCTGCAGTAATTTTTGAATTATTTTCAGCAAAATTTTACTTGCATGTAATAATAATGGTATCATTCAATTATTTCTACATTCTGTTGGCTCACCTTTGGAATGCACACAAATAAGTCTCTTGAAATCTGTTGGCCAGGTAGCTTGTCCTCCAAATTTGTTGGCATAGAGTAGTGAGTGCTTCCAGTGCTTCATCAGCTTGTTGAAACAATTTGATTCATAGTCCATCAATTCCTACAGTCTTTTTTGCTAAGTCCTTCCACATGCTTGGACTTCTTTCAATACCATTGACTCTTGAGCATATGCTACCTCTTGAATGTTTGGACATCACCCAATTCTATTTGGTACAGTGACTCTGGGCATTCTTTCTATCTTCCTTTGAGTTTTCGCACATTGGTCAATACTTTGTCCATAAAAAACTTCCATATTGCAACTCGAGGTTTAAATGTGTCTTCAGTCCTTTCAGACTGAGAAATGCTAAACATGTTCTTCTGTTTTTGAAGCTTATCTGGTTTTCCCTAGAATTTAGTTACCTTTCCCCAAAGTACAAGCATAGTGGTTTAAAACCAACCACATCAATAATCACATAAGAGGTAAATGGTGTAGAAATATTATTTATGTTCTTATATTTACCATTCTTATATTACCATGTAGTCAAAGATTTTGCCTTAATTAAGGTGAAGAGAAACTTTAAATAGGATGTTAACTTTTGATATTTAACTTAACTTTTAACTATAGGCCTTAATATAAAATTGATTTAAATGTGTCTTTTTAATGAAGAGGTCGAAGATTAGCCATAAATAAAACCATTTCCTATTTGTAAGTCATCAAGTAAAGCCCACAGACCAGTCATATCAGTCCACAGTCTCATCATCTACCTGTTATTAAAGTCAGGAGTCTAAACGTCATTCTAGATTTTCGCTCTCACCTTCTCATCAAATCATGTATCTTAAATTGTTCTCCATGCACACCTTCTGCCCTAATCCCATAACTGTTTCCCCCTAGAATTTACAATAGCCATCTTTTAAAAAGTCTAAACCTAATATGATCCCAATGGGGGCACTAGAGTTACGTGTTCGGCTGGTAACCTGAATGGCTGGTGGTCCAGGGTCTCGCCAGCAACCCAACAGGGCAAAGACCTGGCAATCTGCTCGCGTGCAGATTAGTCTACGGGGCCCAAAGGGGTGGACTCTGGGGATGAGACCCGGCAGCAGTTTACCAAACTTCTCTGTGTAATTCCAGGAGCAGACAAGGTTGAGAAGCACTCTCCAAGAGGTAGTAGAAAGCAACAGTGAGTCTAAGAATAAAACCCAAACTCCCTTGCAGGTAATTTTCTGCGGACACGTGGCACTCATAGTGCTAAAACAATGTAGTTTCATCAAAGGGTCACACATATACTTTGGTGCACATTACAAACTCAAGCCAGTCTGCTCACCCACAGCTAAATCCTACCCATGAGGTTTAAGCCTTTCCAGAATTGTTTCCTTTGTATAAATCTTCCTTGACAGGTATAACAGAGCTCATTAATCCACCTGTAACAGTTATTCCAATTCACAGCGACCCTATAGGACAGAGTGGCTTCATGGGTTTCCAAGACTGTAATTCTTCACAGGAGTAGAAAGTCTGGCCTTTCTCCTACTTAGCAGCTGGATGTTTCAAACTGCTGGCCTTGCATTCAGTAGCCCAATGCGTGACCATTACATCACCAGGGCTCCCTCCACAGAGAAGTCTAATTCCCCTATTAGACTATAAACTGTTGGAATTAGTAACCTTTGTCTTATTCATGCTTTTATACCTAGTGTCTATCACTATGCATGGTATAGAGAAAGCACTTGAATATCTGTTGAATTCATTTAGTTGAGGTAAATAACAATGTTATATGCAGGTAGAATCCCAAATTAAGAAACTGTAAGAGATATCAGTTTGTATATTATATCCAAGTTTTATCAAAACAGAAGCAAAACACACCAAAAAAGCAGAAGACAAAAACCAAAACAGAAACAAACAGTTGGACTGTTAAATAATGTAAACCTTTAGTGATTATTCTACGTACACGCAGTAAGAAACTAAGGAAGGAGGAGGCGACAAAGAGCAGTGTGCTGCCACATTCGCAGTGGTGTCACCTTCCAGAAAGTGATGCTTGCCTTTCCAACTCAACAGTGTCCTTTAAAACATATCCTTTTCCTTTTCTTTTGAAATTAGCTAATTAATTAAATCATTTTATTGGGGGCTCGTAAAACTCTTATCACAATCCATACATATATCCACTGTGTCAAGCACACGTATACATTCGTTGCCCTCATCATGCTCAAAACATCTGCTTTCCGCTTGGGCTCTTGGAATCAGTTCCTCATTTTTATTTTTCATATTCTTCTTCACAACATTTTATTAGTATAGTGATATCTGTTTTAAGAAAGTAAGCTAAGAATGCTCACTTGACCTCAGAGTAAAATAATAGGTACTTTAAAAGAAAAACAAATTATGAAAACTTTTCAAATGCTTTGAGTAAATTGTAATTAAGTTTTAAAAATCACTGATAATGTGGTTACTGGCATCTAATGGCAATTTCTAACAGGTTGGGTATTCAATACTTAGCAAAAGCTCTGACCTCCAAAAAGCTCAAAACATATCAAATATTAAGAAAGAAATAAAAATTACATTTACATTCAATATTTAAACAGTCAAAGGACAGGAATTTCTCTAAAACATTAACTGGAGTAGAACTGAACTCTAACATATGTACCTCACTCAAAAGATTTTTCTTATATCCATATTCACATGGGCCAGAGAAATCATCTTAACATGCAAATGGTTATTCATGTATTTAAAGTAAACTTTTTATCTGTCATATATTTTCAATTTTCAAATTCATCCCATATTCACTGAATGTCAATCCTTGCTTGAGATTATCGTTAAACTGTCTAAAATGAATAGTAGTAAAAGCACCATCCACAATATTTGGCTAAAGTTTTGTTTCATTTTGTTACCTTATTTGGTGATTTCAAAGGTGAGATGGCTATTTTATTTGGTGTCTGTGTTGTAGAATTTAAACTTGATCCAATAACACCACTTTCAGATATTGTTATGGTCTTGGATGGAGTCCCAGGAGTAGACTGTGAAAGAACCCTACCTGCAAAGGAGAGGCAGCACATCAGTTTGATTTCTCCAAAGACAAGTCAATTTACATGATGATGGGCCACACCCATAGGAACTGTTCAGTATTTCATATGTACACACATGTTAACTGTTCATTATTTCACGTCAACATAATACTTAGTGAGTCCCTAGTAAACCGTGATGAGCCTAGGCAAAAACAACAACAAAGTTTTTTGTTAAGATTTAGCATCAGTTTATATAAGGTCTACACAAACACTTTTAGTCATATTCTCATCAATATGTTGAGGTATATGTAGTAAAAAAAACAAAAAAAAACAACAGGCTTGGGACAATTAAGAAACATGCTGTAGTGCTCGCTTCGGCAGCACATATACTAAAATTGGAACGAAACATGCTGTATATAATACAGCTCCTGAAAATCAGGATTTGAAATCAAGTCTTAAAACTTCAGTCTCTGTTCTATATAACACTATACTGTATTATATACTATACCACAAGCACCTTCCTATTTGAACTAGAGCCACGCAACATATAATTTACATCCACACCTACAGAAGAGACAGTGAGTGGTCTCGTTAGAGCTCTGTTTGGTTTAACGTTGATATTAGACTGCCAAATGAATTTTAAAACAAACACAAAAGCTTCTTGACTGCTCTACTCAGATCCTATTAGGAACTGGGTTCTCCTGTAAATAATAGCCTTTAGTTACCATATAGAAAAACAGCAGCTTTACAAGTTATTATTATGAATTGAAATACGAGGAATTTTTATTCTAAGCATGAGATGACAAGACATCTCCAGATTCCTTAAAGACTACGCGACAGATACTAGTGCTGCTTACCAAGTGTTTGTGGTTTCCCCATTCTGGGCACATGGTAGGATGGTACTTTCTATCCCCATGTGGTTGGGTTGGGAGGTAGGTGATTTCTTCTGGCCCAAATATTGAGTGTAAAAATGGTGCAGGTCACTTCTGGGCCAGAAGACTATGTAAGTTTGAACTAAAGCGTTCTTTTCCTCTGGCACATTTATGCTGGTGGTTCCTCAGTCCACGTGGACCTCAAAGTGATAAGGATGGAAAGAGTCCCTTCTCTACCCAGATAGTGCATGCAAATAATCATGAAGTATGAATAAAACCGAAAACTTTGGATTGCTTTAAGCTTCCAAAGCACAAAAGTTCTTTATTAAGACAGTAAAACCAAGATTCCTGACTGATCCAGGCTTTCCTGTTGATGGACTAAAACTGATTTGTACTATATTAGATGCAGCCCTAGAACTAAGACATAACATCAGAGATAAGAAATTAGCTCAGCATGAGCAAACATCTAACAAACATGAACTGAGTTTTTCAACATGACCACATTTCTAGTCACTGAAGGCATTCCAAGCAGACTGTCCAAACTGGACAACCAAATCTATTGGCTAAAAAGGGAATTTAACTAGCAGAGAAGCAAAGAAGTACACGACTAGGTTATCTCTAAAATCCCTCTAAACGCTGACGGCTACAATGTAATTGATTGCTGCAGCTAGAGAAGGAGGAGAAGGGACCAAGGAATAGGAAAGAAGAGAGGAAGAGAGGAATGGAGACTGGGAGAGAGGGATTTCGCAACGACTGAGCCAGTTCTTTGGATAACAGTGACAAAATATGCTGACTCAAAACATTTTTAATCAAGTTCACTGGACATTTATAAAATACATTAAATTTAATTTTTTCAAGGTCTTTGTCATGCAAGATTATATTAAATTTTCCTTAATGCATTTCAGTTAAATGTTCCTTGGATGCTGCTTTCCCTGGCAAGCTTCGTCAGCTTCCTTAAACAAGCCAATTCTACGTAGCTAAATAAGCTATAAGGAGCCCTGGTGATGCGGTGGTTACAAGTTGGGCTGCTAACTGCAAGGTCAGAAGTTCAAAACCACCAGCCAGTCCATGGAAGAAGTATGGGGCTTTCTTCTCTCATAAAGAGTTACAGTCAACTTTCATTTTAATTGTGTCGAATTATCCATTATTTGCTTATATGACTTACACATTTTTTGTGCATGTTTAGGCAATCTTTCTTATCCCATAATCATGAGATGTATTTACCTTGAGTGTCTTGTATTGTATTTACCTTGAGTGTGACATACCTTATCATTTTTGCACTAGAATCTTTAATTCACCTGGAATTTATTTTCTTTTTCTATAGGATCCAGTGTATATACTCTTTTTTCATTTGTTAGTCAATTTTCCTACTATCACATTTTTCCAGCTGAATAATTTGCAATGCCTACTCTGTCTAATCTAATTTTATATGTCCAAATAAATTTTGTGCCCTCTACTCTGTTTGTCAATCCCTACATAAATATCACTGTGATTTAATTACTGTGTGCAATAAATGGCAATGGAGGTAAAATAAAAAAAGAGTTACAGTCTCTGAAACTCACAAGGGCAGTCTACCCTGTGCTACCGGGGCACACTATGAGTCAGCATCAACTCAATGGGAGTGAGTTTAAAAGGTTGTACTTGCCTAAAGTAACATGGTTGTTATGCTAGCTTCCAAAGTTAATATCTGTAAGATGAGCCTGAAAACTCAAAGACACAGTTTCATAAAATGCTCTCATTTACATTTATAATAGCATCTTTATCAGGCATTATATACTTTAAAGAAAATGTTAACACAGGAAAATCCTCAGTTCTTGAGGATAATTAATACAAGAAAAGACCACTTAAAGTAAATTTACTTTTACAAGAAAAATACTTTACAGTAAGTAACAAATAAAACTAAAAGTTAAACTTGTACCTTGGGGGGGGACTTAGACTTAACAACTTCACAGCTACTTGGCCAACTGACAGGAAGAAACACATAATTTGTGCCCATTCCAAAGAAAGGTGACTCAACAGAAGATCAAACTATAGAACGCTATCAATGAAATCACACGCAAACAAAAGTTTGCTGAAGACCATGCAACCACAGTTACAACAGTACACTGACAGGGAAATGCCAGAAGTTCAGGCTGGCCTCGGAAGAAAACATGGAACAAGGGATTATCAAAGATGACGTTAGACGGATCATGGCTCAAAGCAGAAAATACCCAAAAGATGTCTACTTATGTTTCAGTGACTATGCAAAGGCATTTGACTGTGTGGAACATAATTAACTGTGGATAGAGTTAATTGAGAAGAATGAGAATTCCAGAACACTACATTGTACTCACAAGGAACTTGAACATGGACCCAGAGGCAGTTGTGCAAACAGAACAAGGGAATAGCGCATGTTTTAAAATCAGGAAAGGTGTGTGTCAGGGCTGTACACTCTCGTCAGTCATTCAATCTGTGCTGAGTCAATCGTTAGGGAAAATGGATTACATGAAGACTGTGGCATCAGGATAGGAGGAAGGCTTATTCAGAACCTGTAGCATGCAGTTGACACACTGCTTGCTGAAAGTGAAGGACTTGAAGCTCTTAGCATGATCAAAGAGTAAATCAACAACTATATTCCGGGGAAGGAGATTCCTCTGAGAATTGTATGACAGCACAGGGACAGCCTGTGTGACAAGTGTAATGTGCACATATAAAAGGTCACTTCTGCAAAACATTCCCAGGAATTCTCTATTAGCCTTTGAAATTCAAGCTATTCTTTGTGGAGCCTACTTGATTATCATCCACATACTGATCTAACTTCTATATCCCCATTTATCCTTAGCGTCTCAGAGTGACTTACACAAGTATGCAAGACACAATTTCACCTTGAAATCTACTTACAAGGCTTCTGTAGTCTACTATCAGATGATCCTCAAGAATAGAAAGACACACGCCAAAAGGCTACAGATAGACTGGGACAGGGAATTAGTATTTTTCAGCGAGGACTATTTCTACCAAAGATCAGCTCATTAGTGAGTCTTTTCACAGTACGATGCGGTTTGTTCCTGACAGGGGTCCTCAAACTTTTTTAACAAGGGGCCAGTTCACTGTCCCTCAGACCAGTTAGAAGGCTGGACTATAGTTTAAAAAAGAACTATGTACAAATTCCTATGCACACTGCCCATATCTTATTTTGAACTAAAAAAAACAAACGAGGCAAAAACACCCAGCGGGCCGGATGAATGTCCTCAGTGGCCCTCATGCCATAGTTTGAGGACCCTGCTCTACAACAACCTTGTACCTTGGGAACTCTGATAATCAGGAGCTCAGGATGTCACTTAACCATCTCAAAAGTTCTGTGGCTGGAGCATACAGTTTACAAAAATAAATAAGATGAACAAGTAATATATTTTCTCAAGATCATAGATAAAACCAATAGAAAAGCCACAATTGAAACTCAGGTCTTTTAATACCTCTCTCTTACCTTACCATTACACTTTTTCCATGATACACTCTTTCATTCAACAACACACATTTACTGAACCACAGAAAAGAAACAAAATTTTTAAAAAATTACCATCAAGAAAATCACACGTAGAGTAGGGGAAGCAGAAAAGAAAATACATTAATACAGTATGACTAATGGACAAGTTACAATTAGTATTACATTTAGGTTAATCACTGGTCTGTATTTGGTAGGGATAACCATGTTTCATGGGAATACATTGGAGATGGGCAAGGAAGAGTACCTAAACTAAACTCTGGGGTCAAAACTTCCGAGACAGGTAGAGACAAACCAAAAACCAAAGTAAAACATAGTCATCAGGAAGAGTATAGAAAGGCACTCCAAGTAGAAGGCATAGTGCCAAGATTTCTCAGGCCCGCGAGAAAAAGGTCCAGTTGGTAATCTCTTAAAAGAAGCTCAATCTGCAGGTCTGGAACTGATAGGGGTGAAGGTGAAAAAGGTCTACATTAGATCATAAACTTCTTTAATGCTAAGAAAACACTAGCATATGAACTTAACCTGACACAAATGGATAAGACCATGAATTTTTTAAGCAAGAGTGTGATAAGGTCAGATTTATATTTTTTAAAAATCACTTGACTTCAAGATAGCAATGTTTAATGAGAAATCCTAAAGTCACAAAAAGCAAACAAACAACCCTGCCCCCCAAAACAACCATTAGCTGCAAGTAAGGTACAGATGATGAACCAGCCTAGTCATAAAACAAATCAGCAAACACAACTACTTCAGGGATTCCAAATATGGCTTATATGAATTTAAATAGTGAGTCAAATGCAGAATGTATCCCTACAAACCAAATTTATTTCCAACAATTTTCGTGAAACTTAACAGAAGCCTGTCTGTGCATTTTACTAGGGTTGATAAGTCTGACTACAATTAACAGGGGAAGCTAACAATTATTTTGCAACATATTATAAATGGCCCAAAGACATGGCAATAATATCCATGATAGTCAAATATAAAATTAGTGAAATACTCTTGATATTAACCAAAAACTCATTCAGACACTTCTTTAAACACCGCCATTGTTAAGTATATAATTTCTCCCCATAACTGAAAATGTTAAAGGAATCTCTCAAATTCAAGACAGTGAAGAACGTTGCTTGGAAGCATTCCTCCAACTTACCCCCTTCAAAAGACTAGTTGCATTAGGTAAATCTGCTGCACAAGACCTCTTTAGAAAAGTGTTACTTTGAGGCTGAAGGTGCACCTGCCCCAAGCCGTGGTGTTTTCAATGACCTCATACGTATGTGAACATTGGACATTAAATAAGGAAGACCGGAGAAGAACCGATGCATGTGAACTGTAGTGTTGGAGAGGAACATGGAAAGTGCCATGGACTGCTACACAGATCTGTCTTGGAAGTACAAGCAAAGGCGGTAAGACTTCATTTTAGGTACTTTGGACATGCTGTCAGGAGAGACCAGTCCCTGGAAAAGGCCATCATGCTTGGGAAACTAGTGGGGCAGTGAAAAAGAGGAAGAACTCTGACATGATGGATTGACACCATGGCTGCAACAATGGGCTCGAGCACAGGAACTGTGAAGACGGTGTAGAATTGAGCAGTGTTTGTTCTGTGTTACACAGGGTTGCTAAGTCCAAAGTGACTCAGTGGCACCTAACAACAACAACAACACCTGCTCAAGGCCTCCCAGGGTCCCTTTTTGCTTCAGTGCATCCTACCCTTGCTTACTTTCTGCCTATTTCTTGAGCCAGCACCAAATCCAAATGCTTTCAGAAGTTTCCTGTGAGATTCTATGGGCTTCTCATGAAAGCTCTCTAGCTATCCCCTCTTACCCCCTCACCATCACAAACCTTCTCCACTGCAGGTCAAAGAAGAAAAAGAACATTCACTCTCCTCAAACTGCAATCTTCACATCCTTCCTCTCAATTGCTAATAAGAAAAGTCCCTTTACACACAATTTAAAACGAGAAAAATGACAAGTTACTACCATTGACTTAGACCTGCCTACTGTTATACTAGGTGCAAACCGACCAGAGAAAGCAGTTAGATGGTTTTAATATATATCCAAGCAATCGGAAGCACTCTCACCAAAGACACATTCGAAGGACTGGTCATTCAAATTTGAAGTCTCTCATCCAAAGTTTACCATCCACACTTGCTTCGCCAAGCCGAAATAAGAAATAATCTTGTAATTGGTAAAACTAGTATAATTACAAGAGCTCTGAGTTAAAGGTCAGCTACTATGGCTGTGTGATCATTCTCTAGAACAAATGAGCTGCCTGCATACCTACTTCTTAGGCAAGGATGATAAAGGATTCACAATGTGGCAGGCAAGAAGAAGACAGAGAGCTGAATTTGACCAGACCTTTATATTTCTAGGGAAAAAAGATTCAGTAGTATTTTCAAAAACCAAAAATCAAACTCCCTGCCATCGAGTCAATTCTGTCTCATATTCACCTATTAGGACACACTAGAATTGCCCTTATGGATTTCCAAGCCGGTAATTCTTTCCAGGAGTAGAAAGTTTCATCTGTTTTCTTGAATAGCAGAACTGCTTAACCCAGTATGTCACCAGGGCGTTGCAAGGAAGTAATAATAATGGATCATGAACTCTAAATTGAATGAGGAAGGATGTGGGGTCAGGAAGAGGTGATTATTAGTGAGAAAGTGTAAGTACTTTGAAGTGTTAGTTACTGTTGATGACAAATTTAAAAGTATATAATGAAAAAGAATTGGGCCACCCTAAAGAGTTTTCTGGCAAAAGTAATATACCTGAAATTTCCTATCACTTAGGTAATCACTATCATGGGGAAATTTTCTGTTCATAGAGAACTGCATATAGTACACATTAAAACACTAAAACCAAAATTTAAACAGAAATTCTGAAATACTATACCCCACCATATGCTAGCTGAGTACCTGTTTCCAAACTGGTACATCAGGATGCTATCAGTACCTACCTCATAGGCTGGCATGAGGATTAGATGAGTCATTTAACTGAACTTAGACTGGTGCCTGATACACAGTAAACACTACATAAATATTAGCTAGTATTCTCAGACCTTAAGATTTCGATACTTTTATTCTAAAAAGCTAAGGAGAATTAAGTAATGAACTGAACACACCTTTAATAAGTGTAATGAACATTAACCAATCTGGTTTATAATAATAAGCTAAACCTGTTGTACGAGAACATTTTAAGGTGGCAGAATGGGCTGTTTAAAATCTATTTAAAGGAAGGTAAGTGCCTAGCTTAGTAAACCAAAAAGAAATGTAACCTGTAATGACTGGTGGCGATCCTTGAGTTGTCTGTCCCGTAACTGCTTTACTATTAATTGGTTTTGCAAAGATCAGCTTCGTGATTACTGGACCAGAGGTTGGTGTTCGAGGCTTCTTAGCAATCTGTAACATATACATCACTATGAAGCCATTTGTTTCTATAAAATTAACTATTAAATCAAAATTTGACAAACGATCCACACACAAAAGTATATGTGAAATTAGCTTATTTGACAAAACATTTCTAAGGGTTAACATTAAAAATAAATATACAAAAACACAGCCATTTGTCAAAATGTTAGTATGATCACACCCTTCAGTCCACATATAATACCTCTGCATTTTATTACCAATCTCTATTTTTAGCTTCTGGGATTTATGCATATGATGACAACTAAACTAATATTTAAGGATAAGCAGAACAATATGGCATAGCAACATTCTTTTGCAAGATAAACTATTCAATAATAAAAAGATTGAGTAAATCATTTAAGAAAGTACAACCCAAATAATGAAGTCACCTGTAAATATAATTTACATTGGTCTCTAGAATAAGGTGACCAGATTTTAACATTGGTAAAGCGGGACGCCATTGATAAAACTCATATCCTGGTGAAATAGTCACATGGCAGCCAAAAATCATATACCCTAGCTTGTCGTGCATTCTTTCCAAAAATCGGGACTTTTTAAAAAATGCCGCAGGACATGGGAAAAATTGTCAAACATTGGGACTGTCCCACCAAAAGCGGGACGTCTGGTCACCTTACTCTAGAAGCAAAATACAAATATACATAAAAGATAATTTTATTATTAGATTTTTAACCCCAGACAAATACATCAAGAGTAAAGGAAGAACTGAACAAGTTAACGTCTTCTCAAACACAGATACAAGTTTGGTTCAAACAAATCTTTTCTAAAAGCAAAAGCTCTTAAATGTTAAAATACAAAGACCTTGAGGAAATCATCTAAATTCTATTCATCTTTGATCTGAACTTACATATCAACTGGCATATTACTGACCTGAACTAAGGTTCTCCACAAATTAAAGAAGGTAGAGATGCTAGTGTTTTCAGATTGAAATTATCAAAGTATGCAAAGGAAAAGCTTCCCCTACAAGCAGATGTGACTGTTTAGCTATAATAAAAATCATACACTTTTAGGAAGGACAAGAAATATTATCTTTTAGCAGACATAGAAACTGAGACTCCGAACAGTCCTATTATTGGTAATAATGACTCAAAAGGAATAAATATGACTAATTGAGTGTCAGAAATACATATACCAGAAGCTGGACTAGGTCACAGAATTAGCCAAATGTCAATTTCTTAGGTTCAGATTACAAATGGAAATGAAATAATATATTTTCTTACATTCAGGATATATTAATTCCTTACATCAAGAACACATTACTAACAAAACATAAATTACTAAATACAAATCACATTTTAAAAACAAGGAGAATCATTACTATATTTAAAAAATATTCCATTTATAAGACTATTACACATCCAAGTATATCTATAGTTAAAACACTAAAAGTTGACATAATTTAGGAAGACATACCAAGAAAATATATACCCAGTACATTAACAGGTCTAAAACTAAAAATAGTTAGAATTTCACCTACTAGTATTAGTGATTTCTTTTTCTTTTTTTCAAGAGGTGAAGTTCTTGTAAATCCAAATAACCTTAGCTATAAAGTAAATATTAAGAGCCTGAAATATTTCTCCAATTTTAACTATTTTTACAATCACATGATTTATAGGAATGCTTACAAGAAAGGAAAAAAATTAAATATAGCCAAAAAGTATTAATTATTCAAATGTACAATCTCTTCTTGCCCTTGTGGTTGTTTCTTTAGTGAAGCACTACAGTTCCCGGAAGAACCAGGAAATTTTGTATTGTGAATGCTAAACTACCCTAAAACCAATTAAGTAAAACAACACACAGAAAATTGTTTTGAACAATTTTACCACAGCAGATTAAGATAAATATATATCCACAAAAAGAGATTTTAAAAATGCGGTAGCCAAATATGTCATCAAATAATACATTCAGGTTATAGAAGGATTCAGAAGCCAAGGATGGTATTACACTGCTCCAGACTCTGTGATGTACCACGCAGTGAGACCCAGGAAAGTGTTGATGCACTGCTCCTAAAGTGCAACGAAATCCGCTTGTTACTGCCTCTGGCTTTGGTTGTTACATCTTTCGTTTAAGATAGGTCTCCTCGCTCTTACCTGCCATCCATACCATAACAGTTTAACTAAGTAAAATTAAGACAATGCCAAGGATTGTTTCGGGGGCGGGGGGCAGGGGGCAGGAAAACGGGACGACCAGATAATCATAGACATCACGCAAAATTAAATAAAATATTCTGATGCCTCGAGGAAAAACGCATGTGGCTGTTTCTTGCCTGCCCATCAGTGCGTCAGAGCTTTGCAGGTTACCTCCGAGTTGGACAGATCTGCGTTACCTAAGAAGGGGACATGTAGCACAATACTTGAAATGGGGTTTCTTTTGTTTTAGCTGTCTGTTAGAGAGAAGTATTTTAAAAATTGGTCTTATAAAAGAAACAAGAAAACAAGTTGTAAGAATTAGACCCCAGTCTTTGTTTTTATTAGCAGCATTTAGGGGATTATAGTAGAAAACCAGTGGATACAGGTACACGGGTCATTAAAATGGTATGTACATATTGCTTTCAAGTGAAAAAAGTGACAATTGGGTTTACGCTTTTTGTTTCTTGTGAACATGATTAGGATTCACATTGTCAAAGTTAGATAAACTCTGATAAACCAAGAGAAATTATGTTCAAAACAAGTTTCAAAATCAAGCTAAGGCCAGGATGCTTCACAGTGATAGGATATCTCATTCAAAAGCGTTCCATCAAAAGAAAGAAGTAAAAGGAATTAAGCAATAAGTGGGGAATGCTAAAGAACAAGAAAGAAAAGGGCACTAAAACAATTTAACAATGGCACAAAGGACATAGGCAAAAACAAGGTCGGAGAAATCTTACAAAGCTCTTAGGCACAAAGTCCATGAAAAATATTTCTAATTCTTTTGTCGGTATAGTAACGAGAGCATTATTTCTACTACCAGCTGAGTACAGTTGCCCAGATCTTTGCCTATTTTCTTATATACACCTACTTCACTTATGCGTCTTCCTTCAGAGGCAACTCTTTCACACAGGGAACTGTGTTTCCTGGTCTCAAGTGGATAACTGGGTTTCTGAAAGTACTGGTAACCTTTGAAAAGTCAATGAGAGCAAGAAAGACTGGGAACCATTTACTACATGTGCTAGTCATTTTTTATCTTAGAAGCCTAATCATCCTAATAAAAGGCAGCATCTTGATGGCTCCTCAATGTTTTAAAAACAATACTGGGGTGCTTATCTTTTATTACATATCATCATGCTCAAGTAGCTAAAATCACAAGTTCAAAACTAAGGAAGCCACCCAAAGTTCCACAGCTGACAGAGGGCTAAAGAAGTAACTCAATGCCAAGGGCTCCAAAGTACTTTTTCCATATTGCAAACACGAGTGACAACAATGGACAATAAACTCCAAAGATGCAGACCAAATAGCCACTGTGCATTATGACTGGCTTCACGGGTTTCTCAGAGTCAAAAAACTTTCCTACCTTGGCCACCTGTTAACTGAAAAAAGAATTTGTCTGAATGTTTTTTTTAGCAGCATCTTGGCATCTTTATTCCAGCAAAACATTCTTTTAGTCATACCATACCACTAAAAAAAAAAGGTTTCTAAAAAATGAGTAGAAGACTATACAGAAAATAATGTAAAAGTGAACCAAATTTTTATTTGTTCTAAGTTCTCTGCAAAAAAATTCATAAGCAATAAACATATCCAAGTTTAAAAAAAAATCACACAATTACTAAGATCAACATTCAAAAGAAGTCAGTAACAACTATGTATTTAATCACTCGGCAAACAAAACTATGAGTTAAATTCCATTTTTCTAACATGCATTTTAATTAATAAGTGTCCTTTTTTTTTTTTTTTTTTACCTGTACTGTTTTTAACTGTTGGGTCTGTACCACAGAGGGCTGAGTTGTAGCACTGATTAGTTGACTTCCCGGGGTCAATGCTGATACACCAATGGCGGGTTTCACCTCGGGCCTCCCTCCAATGGTAACTACTTTAATTTGTTGTGGTGGTAACTTTGCATCTCCTGACTGGGCCTGAGTTGAAACTTTCTGAGCCTGGGGTAGTTGGCTATGGGGTAGTGCTAAAACAATTGGTGAACCAGACTTGCCCAAAGTTGTTAAAATTAACTTCTGTCCATCTGGTTTAAGGGTCTGATTGCCAAGTTTAAGATCAGATGTCTGTGATACTTTGTTTAGAATGATCTGATTGGTTGATATAGTCACAGGAGTCTGAGCACCAAGTTTGTGAAGGCCACTTGGAAAAGCTGGTTTCACTGTGGTATTAGAATCTGCTTTAGTACTTGTGGTATTCACTGCAACTTGGTTAGTGTGGTTACTGTATACTGTAACTGGTTCCGTGGAAATGGGCGTGGCTGTAGAGTCACAAGTAGAATTTATGTTGACAATTTCTTCCAGTTCTGTCTCCATGGGAATTGGGGATGAAACAATAACAGCCTCAATACTATCATCATCCACTAACGTTATACCAGTGTCCATTATCTCCTCTGGAAGCAAACTATTCACCTCGGCTGGCACCACCTCCATGATTGTTCTGCTGTTAGAACGTTGATCAGGCTGTAATAAATACAAATTGAAAAACAAATAGGTTACTGGGTTTCAAAACAGATTTAAAAGAAAAATACAATTCAAGAATCATACAAGTGACAAAATATCCTTTTTAATCGATACACCATACATAGTTGAACAGGCAATAGCTAAGACGGATGTGGGTTAAATAACTTTAGCTCAACCTTAACATGCAAGCATCTGAAATAACGTCACAACCGACCTTGAATTAGACGCAAATATTCTCATCTGCTCATGTCTCAACCCGAAAGCATACTGCACTCAGCCAACGGTAATCCATGTAATTATAGGAAATGCCTTTCCAGTGTCAGCTAACTTTTGCGTCTGACCATCTTATTCCTTTCCAGTTGTGTGTGTGTGTGTGTGTGTGTGTGTGTGGTACTCTCACTCGTTGACAGGCTTGGAGGGTTGCTGATTCACACAAGGAATTATGATTTCAATGTGAATAGATCATGGAAAACATCTTCAAATCACCAATGAGCTAGGTCTGAATTAGGAGGGTACTACACCATTTATAAGAGCCATTAAATACTCAGATTAATGTTAAAGGAGCTTCCAGAGTAATCTACCTCAGTGACTAAAAGCCAAATGGTTTATGTGGCCCAAGTTTCATCAATTAGCTTCAACTCAAGGAAGTGTTTATTTGAAAAGAAGATTCACAAGTCCTTCTCAGTCATTTAAAATGTCCAATAGAGAATCGTTTAAGAAATGTTCCATCAGTCTACCTAAAGAAAAAAAATGGTAATAATAATAACTAAACTAGGGATAAACCAGGCTGCAATATTTTTTATCCAAAGGTTACGTAAAACTCCCAATAGAGAAATCAATAGCATTATCTTCACATATTAAAGAGAGCACAGTATGTTCATGACTGACTAAATCAGTGGTTCTCAACCTTCCTAATGCCGCAGTCCTTTAATACAGTTCCTCATGTTGTGGTGACTCCAACCATAAAATTATTTTCATTGCTATTTCATAACTATAATTTTGCTACTGTTATGAAATCGGGCAACGCCCATGAAAGGGCTGTTCGACCCCCAAAGGGCTTGAGACGCACAAGTTGAGAACTGCTGGACTAAACAGTTATATCACTTACCCAGAGAACATCAAAGATGAATATGAATCTAATAGGCAGTTTTTTTCTTTTCTCTTTTAAGATATAAAAATACAAAATTCCAAGATTCAAAGAAACAGATATCAGTAACAAACTATAATCTTCAGTATTATGCAAATACTAATACTGCCCAGAATTAACCATAACGGTGCTAACCATCAACCAGTGGAGGTATGATTTTTTATAATCTTCAAAACAACTCTATTAGATAGGCACTATTATCATTCCCATTTTACAGATGATGAAACTTGGAAAGGCTAAGCAATTTCCCCAAAGTCACACAATTAGCAAATGGTAGAATCGGGTTTTTAGGATACTAAAGTTTGAATTTGAATCATAAAATTATAGTCTTCAGGGAATACCAAAAATAGACTTTAGGACCAGGGCTTGGTGGCCCATCAGACTTGACCAGAAAACACTCCTAAAGGCCAACAAACAGTCCTTGAACTAACTACAAGCTTTTTTTTCTTGTATTTTGTTTTGCTTTTTGTCATTGGATGGTTGTTGTTGTTTTATTTTGTTGCTTGGTTTTGCTCTGTCTTGTTTTTGTGTATATTATCTACACAGGTCTGTATAAATAAGATAGGCTGGATGAACAATCTGGAGGAGAAAACAACGGGACTGACAGTTGGGGAGGGGATATCGGAGAGGGAGAGGTGGAGGGAAAGGTAGTGGTGTTAACAAACCCAGGGACAAGGGAACAAGTGATCAAAATCAGTGGTGAGGAGGGTGTAGGAGGCCTGGTAGGACGTGACCAAGGTTAATGTAACCGAGAGGTATTACTAAAACCCAAATGAAGGCTGAACATGATAGTGGTACAAGAGGAAAGAGCTAGGAGGCAAATGGCATTTATAGAGGTCTCTAAATAAGGGCATGAACATATGTAAATATACTTATATATGAGGATATGGAAATAGATCTATGTGCATATATGTATAGGTTTAGCATTAAGGTAGCAGGTAGCAGATGGACATTGGGCCTCCACTCAAGTACTCTCTCAATGCAAGAATACTTTGCTCCATTAAACTGGCATTCCGCGATGCTTACCTTCCCGACACGATCATTGAAGACAAAGCGGGTGCATAAGCAAATGTGGCAAAGAAAGCTGATGGTGCCCGGCTATCAAAAGATATAGTGCTTAAGAGTCTTAAAGGCTTGAAGGTAAACAAGAGGCCATCTAGCTCAGAAGCAACAAAACCCACATGGAAGAAACACACCAGCCTGTGCGATCACAAGGTGTCGAAGGGATCAGGTATTATCAAAACAAAAAAAATCATATCATTGTGAATAAGGGGGAGTGTGGAGTGGAGACCCAAAGCTCATCTGTAGCCAATTGGACATCTCCTTATGGAAGGGTTGCGGGAGGAGACAAGCCAGTTTGGGTTCAGTGCAGCAACGATGAAACATACAACTTTCCTCTAGTTCCTAAATGCTTCCTCCCCACTCACTATCATGATCCCAATTCTACCTTACAAATCTGGCTAGACCAGAGGATGTACACTGGTACAGATAACAACTGGAAACACATGGAATCCAGGGCGGATGATCCCTTCGGGACCAGTGCTGAAAGTGGCGATACCGGGAGGGTGGAGGGAGGATGGGGTGGAAAGGGGAAACCCATTACAAGGATCTACATATAACCTCCTCCCTGGGGAATGGACAACAGAAAAGTGGGTGAAGGGAGACGTCAGACAGTGTAAGACATGACAAAATAATTTATAAATTATCAAGGGTTCATGAGGGAGGGGGGAGCGGGGAGGGAGGAGAGAAAATGAGGAGTTGAGGCCAGGGGTTTAGGTGGAGAGCAAATGTTTTGAGAATGATGAGGGCAATGAATGTACAAATGTGCTTTACACAACTGATGTATGTATGGATTGTGATAAGAGTTGTATTAGCCCCTAATAAAATGATTTAAAAAATCATTCTTTAATTTTTAGTATAGGTATTTAAAAATGGAGAAAAACAAGTCTCCTTTTCAAGACTCCCTGAGTGATAGTATCAGTTAAGCATATTTCTTCCAGTTATTAAGGGGAACATTTTTAAAATTTGCACTGTTAAAGGAAATAAGGAGTTACAAGACTAGGTGTCTCTCCTCTGTGTGTGAACTAGGAATAAAGTTCAAACTTCTAACCAAAAAAGGTCTGCTTGGTTTGACCAATCCCTTTTTGCATGGGGCAAACCAGCTGTGCAGAGTTCTGTAGCCAAGACATTTCTTATGCCACTGAGCAAACTAAAGATAGCAGCCTGAGGATTAGACACGCACATCTGTTCAATAAAGGGTCACATGCAGAGCACAGTAACCTATGCAAAACAAAACCCTCAAAATCCGCTTGTGGGCATGGCAGAAAGGCTTTGCCCATCTAGTTACATGAATCATCATCCTAATTTTATCCTTCAGGAATGGAAGGTATGTACTAGTAAATGCAACATCATTCCCACTAAGTGGAGGACCATGTTAAGAAAAAAATCCCCTATTATTTCCACCCTTCACAGGACAAGAACCCAAGGCACTTTATTTAGTTTACCTCATCTGTAAGAGGGGTGATCTATCAGGACATGGCAGGGAAACAATCCAGAATATATGATGCACGCCTCTAATATTATATATAGTTCATAAACCAAAGCTGTAAAGGAAGATTCCTGGAAGCCAATAAAGTGAGGTCTTTGCCCTTAGAGTTGAACATGGTTAAATGGTTTAAATCCAGAGTTAAAGGATTCACCTCTTTCAGGAGGTTTAATGTGTTCTAAATCTGCCTCAACTGTATTAAGTTTATAAAACTCATCTAAAATAGCTCCCTACCCTCATTTTCAGAACCTTTGGTGTTACAAATGTTTAATAGTGCTTGGCTGCTAACCAAAAGGCTGGAGGTTTGAGTCTAGCCAGAAGGACCTCAGAAAAAGAGGCCTGGGATCCACTTCAAAAAACTGGCCACTGCAAACCCTACGGAGCACAGCTCAACTTTGACACACATGGGAGTCACCAAGAGTCGGGGCTACACTGATGGCAACCGGGAACTGAAACTCTCATTTCTGCTGCCCCTGGCATTCTATCAAACCACTTAAAAGTTTTACTCAACATAGCAGCTATCGCAATCAGAAAATATTTTGCCTATCTACTTATGGTCTGATGCCTCTCGGCCACCTCTTTACAATGTGAGCTGCATGAGCTCTTGTCCGTCTTGATCACCACTGCTTCCCCTATTCCCGGTGCTTCAACTGCTGTTGGGTTGATGACCCCTTCTCATAAAGAACAGAGCTACCGCATAGGGTTGCCCCACGGGGCACCAAAAGATGCTGTACACATCTTTAGAGGATCAGACCGCCAGATTTCTCCTATGGAGCTGCGGGTGGGTGCCACCTTTTGGCAGTGCCTAGAACATAGCTGGCAACGATAATCTGTTTAGGCAAATCCAAAGAATGAGTAAATGAAGCTGGCAGAAAGAAGGGGCTGTCATATCAGACTCTAGAATTATTTATGTTAAGCTCTGAAAATAATTGTTTTTATATTTGAGTAGGGTGACCTCCTCCCTGGGGGACAGACAACCGAAAAGTGGATGAAGGGAGACGTCGGACAGGGCAAGATATGACAAAATACCCATTTATAAACTATCAAGGGCTCATGCGGGAGGGGGGAGCGGGGAGGGAGGGGAAAAATGAGGACCTAATGTCGGGGGTTTAAGTGGAGAGAAAATGTTTTGAGAAAGATGTACAAATGCGCTTTACACAATCGATGTGTGTATGGATTGGGATAACAGTTGTATGAGCCCCTAATAAAATGTTAAAAAAGAGAAAGAAAAAAAAAGAAAAAAAATATGTGCATAAATAACGAAATAAAAAAGAAAAAAAGAAATTAAATAAAAAAAAAAAGATGCTG